TTGCCGTTGAATAAGGCTGCGAAAGCCTCTCTGGAGAAGACACAAAGATGCTTGCAGCTATTCAGTCCCAGAAATGGGGAAGGAGATGCAATTCTGTCCAGCCAGAATACAAATCCTCCCCATCTGTGGATCTTCTCCTGCTTCCGAGAAGTCAAAAACCTGATGGATCAACTCACACAGGGGTGATTCTGCCACCACCTACCGGCAAGAGGAACAAGAGCCACTGGCCCGACTTGGCACAGGGCAACACCATGGCAGCCCGCATCTCACACCTCCCCGCTGATTCAGGCTTGCGTGAGGAACTGGAAGACAAAATAAAAACAGGAGGGAGTAAGGCAAAGTCAGCAACACCTTTATCAGGCTTTCTCACAATCATTTTGGGAGTTCTGGCCCTCCCAGCACAGCCTCCCTAGAAGGATATTCTCCGGTACTACCTTCTCAGTGCCTAGAGGCAGACATCTTCTGTTCTGCCAGTTAATCAGGCCTGAGAATCCTCTCTGGAGAAGACACAAAGATGCTTGCAGCTATTCAGTCCCAGAAATGGGGAAGGAGATGTTTGGTTCGTGCCTGCCATGTGAACCTGCACAGGAACAAGTCACATTTACAGGGCACACCTTCTCGCCACCATCTGCTATTTTCAAGGAGAGGCTTCCCTGATTTACGACACATCCTCTCTCAGTGAGGGTTTGGTACAATTCCAGGGTACGTTGCCTGCCCTCAAACCAGAAAGAAAGCATGACAGGTACCAGGTTCCTTCGCTTTTGGGACTACATCTGCTACCCCTGCCTGCTCTTAGAGGGGCACAATGAGCTGGCTGGAGGCTCCCGAGCAGGATTAGGGGTTCATAGGAATCCCTGCAACCTGAGCAGCAGGTTTCCATTTTATGCTCTGTCAGCTTATAGCTCTCAAATCCCGCTATCGCAGAGCAGCTGAATACGTACAGGGACTCGGAGCACAATTTGATCACCAGAACAAGAAAGGAAATCTTTTCTTTGAGAAGTATTCCTCTCATTATTAGAGCACAGAGGATATATAAATATTTACGGATGCATAAGTTAGAAGAAAATGGTGGGTCTGCTACAAAATCCTGTTTGCTAGCACATGAGAGCAGTATAAATTCCTCCTCAATAATTCTACTTAACCTCCTCTGCAGGGAGCAGGATTTGCAGCTAGCACAGCAAAATGAAGAAATCAGTTCAGATGCATACTACATACTCATATCTATACCCCCCCCAAGGAACTAGTCATTACCATCTTCAAAATATTTCAATACAGGATAAAGTAATTCAAATAAAAAAAGTATAATTTAGCACTTAAAAAAAGCTCAATGCCTGAAGCAGCCTCCTCCAGAGGGAACCTCCACCATAAAGCTTGGCTATAAACAGCCACGCTCACCTGGTCCCAGCACTGGTGACGGTCTAAATTTGGGCAAGACATTGGGCTGAGGAACTGTAGAGGCCTCTCCTAACTAGAATTGCCACAAATATGCAACCACCCCTCTATTCGAGCCTGGAAACCTCAGTAGCACACCCTACTTCCAGTGAGCAGCTCCGAGAGTATCATGGGCATGCTGATACTTTGAAAAGGCTTCAAAAGCAAAATTCTGGGAGCGTTAGGGGTTCTTCAGCTCCTGCCTTATAAGCAAAGAGAAATAAAACTTATTTTACTTGCCAGCACAGCGTGGAAGTGCTGCCCTCATCGTTGCAGACGAGCGCTGGAGCGGCAGCGCCGTAGTCGGGTCACCGTTACCGTGCTTGGTGAATCACAGAATCATAGAATTGTCAGGGTTGGAAGGGACCTTAAAGATCATCTAGTTCCAACCCCACCACCATGGGCAGGGACATCTCCCACTAGATCAGGCTGCTCAGAGCCCCATCCAGCCTGGCCTTAAAAACTTAAAAACTGGGAGGCTTCCACCCCCTCTCTGGGCAACTTGTGCCAGGGTCTCCCCACCCTCATGGGGAAAAACTTCTTCCTCACGTCCAATCTGAGTCGACCCATCTCTAGTTTTAAGCTATTCCCTCTAGTCCTATCACTACCTGACACCCTAAAAAGTCCCTCCCCAGCTTTCTTGTAGCGCCCTTGAGATACGGGAAGGCCACAATAAGGTCTCCTCAGAGCCTTCTTTTCCGCAGACTGAACAACCTCAGCTCGCTCAGTCTGTCTGCACAGGAGAGCTCAGCAAGTCCCCAGCACCCACCCATCCTCCTCTGGCTGGGAAGCCACCAAGCTCCAGGTAGGAAAGGTGAGGAGCACATTTCCAGCCCAAAGCCACCATGTCCAGGATAGGAAACCCTGCCTGTTTGTAAAGGTCACATCCACATTATCAGTTGTGTTTTCCCTGGGACTCATGAACAGCTACCACCTACCTACTCCTGCACAGCATTTTTCCACCCCTAGCCCTCTCAGTAATCTAGAAAACAAGATCAATAAGCTCCTCGTCAATTAAAAAATGGAGAAAGGGAAGCACAGAATGGACCAGCGTGGCCAAAGCCACCAAGCAGGTGAGCAGCAAAGCCAGGAGCCTCTGCCTCCAACAAAGGAGCCTCTCGGCAGGCAGAACCAGCGAAGGATCACTCCGAGGCCGGCTGAGCAGGAACAAGGACATTCATGAAAGCCACAAATCAGCCCCGGCAGCGTCAAACTGTGCGGACAGCGGCGAGACAGGTGTCTGCTCGGATTTGCTCTGAGCAGAGCTCAGCGGTTCGGATATTTCTCCTCTGCAGGGTCACGCGACGCGCTCAGCGGAGTTGGGTACCCACGGCCACGTGGGCGGGTCGACACCGTAGATGCTCAGCACGGTCACCAAAAAAACCTTCTCCCAACAGCTTTGTCCAATGTTGGCTAAACCACCGCTGTTCTCATCCAAGAGCAAGGGATAAGTGACAAGACTAATGAGAGATTGCGTTCTCTGCATGCAACTCTGGTTCTCACAGAGGGGAATTTTCACACTGTGACCTTGAGCATCACAAAAGAGATGGAGGAAATAACCTGAAATGAAATTTGGGGAACAGACTGCCTAGTACAAGAGAAAGGTGTGCACACATCACCAAAACTCCCGGTGGTTTAAAAGCAGGAATACAACGAACAGCATAAGTGTAATACACAGCCAAAGCAACAACCGGGGGAAAAAAATAATAAAAAAGCCAAGCCTGGAAAGAGCCGGCAATGTACCACTTTTCTATTTTAAACCAGACTGCATTAAAACCCAAGCAGCTTAATAAAGCAGTGCTTTGAGGGTAAAAGCCAAGCTTCCCCCGAGAGCTAGCAGTTCATTTTGTCAATACTCAATACGGAGCTCACGTTTAAACAAACACCTATACGCAAGGGCCGGTTCCATCTAGTGGCATGAGTAAGAAGTTTGCTCATGTTCGTAGCACTGAGCCGCCAAGAATGTGAAGTAACAAGATCAAAGCCACCCTAGGGTCTTGCCCTACATAAACAACATAATAAAAAGCAAGCAAGACAGATGGAGAGAAGCTATCCCTGCACTACCTCAGTGATTTCAGTGCCTATTTATAGGTACAGAATGAGGCTCCTTACAACCCAGCTCTAACACAACCATCAGCTTTTTTGCACTCCAGTCGAGGACACGATATCAGACCCATTTCAAAAGAGAAAGGCCTGGCAGCAGGCAGGTAAACACTCTGCAAGCTGCTTTTATTTCTTATTTTTCTTTCCTTTTCCTTAAAAACTCCCCCTTGCACAACAGCACACCAAACTGGAGTTGGGACTTGGAGTCCCTGCACACATCTGTGCGACCCAAAACTCTTGTCATGACTTTGAAGCCCCCCAGGGACAGGGCAGTGAAGGCCACCACGCTGAAGATGCAGTTCCATCAACTCTCCCCTCAGCTTTCCACATTACTGCACGTATCCGTGACTGCGCATCCACGTTTTGTCACTGCACAGGCAATAAAATCCTTCCCATTTTTTCCTACAGCAACCTGAGAGGAGAAGAACCCACTAACAGAACAGCTCCTGGAAAAAAAAATAAAAAAATCAGAGACCATCAGGGGCTTACGTGTAACTGTTCTCTGAACTGACTAGATCTCAGACTGACAGCTGAAGTCGCAGTTAAGTTCCCAACAAGCTTCTCCTATATGTAAAAATATCATCTACCAAACCACCGGTCCCCAGCAGTACTACGAGTTGGCGGATCAGCTGCTAAGAGGTGAAGCAGGTCTCCGAAGCACACAGAATGCTTACACAAGGCTTTCCAAAAACCCATTCAAAATCCCTGCAAACGCCACGTTACTTATTTTTAGTCTAACCTAAAAATAGCAAGCATCGGTGCATATAT